ATAGCTCTTAATTTTTTTTAAAAAAAATATAGAAGTCTTTCTGGCCAAGGCTGCCAGTTTCAAGGTGTACGTGTTTCAAAGCAGTACAGGTAGTCCTGGGTTAACAGTGATAATTGAGATTGGATCTTCCGTCACTAAGCGATGCGGTTGGGAAGCATGGCACATGACCTCAGTGCTTAGTGATGGAAATCCCAGTAGACTCTGTTATTGCTTAATGACCCGTATCATGGCTCATTAAGCAGGGATCTCATTGCAACTTTCTGAGGGCTTCCAATGAGAAAAGTCAATGGGGAAGATGGCAGGAAGTTAAAAGTCAATGGGGAAGATGGCAGGAAGTTAAAAGTCAATGGGGAAGATGGTAAAAAGTTAAGAGTCATGGGTGGCTCACAAGCAGTCCTGTGGTCGGCTGTAATGGCTTGACGCAAGTGTAGCCAGATTGGAGATGGCTGTTGCCACAAACAGGAAGATGTGCAAGCTGTCCTAGGTTCTGCTGGCCATCACCCCCAACTGATCTTCACCTTCTTCTTCCTCCCATTGCTGATGAGAATACCCAACCTGGCACTTTATGAAGCTGCAGTCACTCCAATCCAGCCCAGCCCTGAGGCACAAAGCTGCAACAGCCTCAGCCCACCTTAGCACCATAAAGTCCAGCGTTGCAGCTCGAAGCTCCAGCAGCAGCTGCCCTCCTCACCCCGCCCTCCACAGCCCACAGCGGATCTTCACAATTTTCTTGCTCCTGAGACCTGCCCAGCTTGGCTCTTTGTGAGGCCGCACAAGACTTTCTTTCCTTCTTCCATGCCACTGCTTCAGGAAGGGCTAGTGTGTCTCATCAACAGTGGAAGCAGCAGGATGGCAAAGGTCATCGGGGTGTCAGAGCACAGGGTGGCAAAGGTTGTGGAGTGCAAAAGGGCCAAAAAGCAGGGGTGAGGAACAATGGCCCTTTTATGATTTGTGAACTTCAACTCCCAGAATTCCTGACCCAGCCATGCTGACTCAGGAATTCTGGGAGTTGAAGTCCACAAGTCATACAAGGGCCATGCTGGCTCAAGAATTCTGGGGGTTGAAGTCCACAAGTAACACAAGGGCCATAGTTTCCCTTCTCTGATCTAAAGCGAAGATATGAGGGAAGCTACGTAGGTGGGGATTGTTAAAGAATACCCTGTGGTCGTAAATGCAGGTGGGCTGCCAACTGCCTGAATTCTGGTCATGTGACCACAGGGGCAGCCCAACAGCTGTAACTTTGAGGACTGGGTATAAATGCCATTTGTTCAGCACCATCGTAACATCAAATAATTGCTGAACGAATGGTCATAAAGCAGAGACCACCTGTATAAGACATCGATTTCACTAGATCAATTCAGACTGTGGATACAAACCAGCTCAGTCATTTCTCACAAGCCGACGTAACAAAACAAACTGTACTCCACTTTTACCTGGCGTTTGTTCATTCGCCGGAGGTCTCCAAAAATATCCATTTTGAGAGCTATAAGGAAAGAAAAAAAAAGACCTTATTCTTAAACTGGAATGAGTGTGAACACGCTAAGAGGTTTCTCACACAATCAACGGGTGGTGCCAAGCCAAATTGTAATACACAGGGTACGAGAGTTGGCACCTCTAACAGATATTGACTGTGCTGGTAGAAATCACTCAGTATCATTCCACTCCACCTATTTTATTATTTTTAGATTAAGCTGGACATAGACTTATTTGTTACACTAGTTTCTTCCAAGCTGCTGCCCTACAGATATATTTCCTATATCATAAAGTTCCAGTCAACACTTCTTTGCTCTTAGTGAATCCACAGAGTGTCACCCAGTTAGGGGTTAACCAGAGTCTTCTTGGGAAGGGGAAGGCGCATCTACAGGGCTGTGCAACGGAATTGTTTGTGCATCTGGAAGATAAAATTGCTTTAATTTGTTCCCAGTTGGATACCAAGCATGGTGGAAGCCCTGTGGAGGTGCCTAGGGAGTGGACTGCACTGGGTGCCAGTTTGCTTCTGGGTCTAAAGTGAGGTGTTGGTTGTGACTTACTAATCCCTACATGGCAACTGGGCCAGGTTATCTGCGGAACCATCTTTGCCCCATTATATTAATCATCCCACTGGGTCAGGCAGGGAAAATATGTTGCAGACCCTGTCAGTTAAAGAACTCTGGCCATGCTAAGTACAGAATTATTCAATAGTTAATGGCCACCAATCTATAAGGGGCCAGACTGGAGAAAGATTTTTACAGCAGTACTTTTGGCCATTAACACATACCATTGTGAACAAGAAGTAATACTTTGTGCTCATATAACAAGCTTTATTAGTACTCTGGCTAAAAACGTGCATATTAACTCTTCACAAGAGGAAGGAGAACAGGGACAAATTGTAATGCTCTTCTGAATGGAAGTACATTTCATGGTGTGGAAGCAATCAGAAGTTCACTATAAAGAGCCTAAAATCAGATATTCAGCTTTGACACATACTTTTTTTAATGGATATATGAAGTCACTTTAGTTTACCCCACAGGAGGCCACAGTGGCATATCCCAGTATTATTTTAATTGCCACCAGCTCTTCAGTTGTTTCCCAAATTTGTTGCATGGAAACATTTTTAATAAGAGGTACATGTGGCAGAAGGAGCTCAACCAGAAGGCAACTGCTGCCTTTGCAACATATGCTAAAACAAAGTTATGGATACACACAGACTCAGAAATTAGCAACTTTTTCTGACATAAAGCCAAGCAGCCGGGAAAAAGCTGCAGAAATCAGAATCATGGTTTCCAAGACCTCAGATAGTGGAATGAATTTAATGCCAATGGTTGTAAAATAAATGCAACTGCATATCTAAAATGCCCAGTTAATACATACCTGAATCTTTTTAATGAATTGCATCTCACAATCAACCATACCAGGCTTCCTATAGATTACACAACTTAAGTGTGGTGTCTGATGTAACAGATACAAATACTAATGGCATTCACGTATAGACTGTGAGGAAGTTTACACAGGAAGGCTTGCTTAATCCGTTACTGAACAGATGCTAACTGGCTGAATTCACAACTTGCCATAAGCAAACCACAATAGAACGTAGTTCGCTTTTTTGCACCTAGTCAGATCTTGCAGGTTCTCAGCACTGAACACTATGGCTGGGTTTACACAATGCATTTTATTTGGTGGTTAGACCAACGATCTCTTTAACTTCCATAGCTGGAAGGTTAACCTTTATTGAGGTTTTTTTTTTTGTGGTATAGCATGTTGTAGAAAACCTGTGTGAAAGTTTGCAAAGGAGACTGGAAAAAAAAAGGGGGAGAACAATCAACAAAAGGGAAAATAGTTTAGTAGCTTTTCTCACATTCTCTCTCCATTTGGTGGGCAAAAAAATTAATAACTAAATGACAGCTTCATTTGGGTTACAAGAAACTCAAGAAAAGATTCAAAACTTAATGAACATGCCAATAAGAGGAGTCTGGAGATTCCTGAAATTTTGAAAAGGAGAATCCTTACCCTAATTTCTTTAAAATTCCTGATAGATGTCTATAGAATTGTTGCTTCCTTCACCGTGCCCTGTGGGATGGGGCCAGGTGCCCCACCTGTTTGAGAAAGGTATGAGTAAGTCCCTTGTACAAAGCAAATATTCAGTCAATTCAATCACCTGCTTCAGTGAGCTGCCATGTTCCCAGAGTGAGTCTATCAGGACTCCACCTACTAGTTTCAACAGAAGAGAACATCTGTAGAGCTCAGAGTTGAACTGTGGAGATCTTGGTGCTCTCTGAGCTGAGCTGCCAACTTGCAGACATTTCATTACCCTACTAGGTCATTTCATCAAGCCAAATCCACAAATGCCAGGGAATTCACGGAAGCTCGAAATTCAGACAGATCAGTATGGAGATGAAACCCCATTTACACAGCCTTCAAAGGCACAGTTATGACACATCACATGCTTTTTATGTTGGTTACTGAATTTTTACGTGGTATCATTTAATGCAGAGTCTTTCACGTCCCTGTGAAAAATAAGTCAACTGAATTGCATTTAAAAAAATAAATGTACGTATATCTTTTGAATTTTATTATAAATATGCTTTTTTTGGAAAGTTTTTTGTAGTTTGCTCCAGTGGTGAAATTCAATTTTTTTTTTACTACCCGTTCTGTGAGTGTGGCTTGGTGGGTGTGGTAGGGGAAGGATACTGCAAAATCTCCATTCCCTCCCCACTCTGGGGTGAGCCAGAGGTGGTATTTGCCGGTTCTCTGAACTACTCAAAATTTCCCCTACTGGTTCTCCAGAACCTGCTGAATTTCACCCCTGGTTTGCTCCCAAGAACTTCTGGGACCATGCCAGGCCAGGCTTTTCCTACGCAATCAAGTCAACATGTGAGGATGGTCTTATTGTAAGCCACCTGATGTTCAGCAGCAACATCCAAACCTGGACGCTGACCCGTTTGGAGGGGTGGGGATAGCACCAGAAAAACCCCTAGTTATCAGGGGTGATCCATTGGCGTAGACCCAAACGTGCTTTTTTTCAAGAGGCAACTGGACTTTCTGGTTTTTTTCTTTGCACACGTTTCGCTTCTCATCCAAGAAACTTCTTCAGTGCCACATTGGAATTAAGCCAGGGGTGGGTTTCAACCGGTTCGCAGAGGTCCCTGCGATCTGGTTGGTCGCCGAACTCGGAAGTAAGTAACTCCCGGGAATGGCGAAGCCCCCCCCCCCGTGCCCGCGCGCGCCCGCGCCCCCGTTCCCGCTCCTTACCCGGTTTTGATGAATTCTGCGCTTCCACGCATGCGCAGGACGCATACAGCGCCTGCGC